GGGGGTAACACATACAGTACACTGGACTCCTTTTTAAGATTTGGTTGCTAAAATGATCCCTGATAAGTTATCCTGAAACTCTATAGGTCAACACATTTGTGGTTTTCTTTCTAGATATCAAAGCTAAAGAATACCAACCACCTTTCTATGACATGGTACCTCATGATCCTAGCTTTGAAATCATGAAAGAAGTTGTCTGTGTGCAACAGAAGAGGCCTACATTTCCAAATGAATGGAGTAATAATAAGGTAGGTGCACATACTAAATCAGAACTATGATAGCTACTTAGATCAGCACCTCGGTGTACCAACAATGATTGACACAATTCTGTTTCATTCCAGCTTCTTCAGGGTATGATGGTAATCATCAAAGAATGTTGGAGTCAAAATGCTGCTGCTCGTTTAACCTCGTTAAGAGTTGACAAGAAACTAACAAAGTTGTTGACAGACTGTAAAAGTCCAGTAGTTGTATCAGAAGTAGAACAAGACATTATGGATTTGCTTAAACCCTCGTAACCAAAAAGTAGAAGTTAGATTTTGCTACAAGGTTGACACGCTGTGTTCTTTGTTTGGCAATTTTAAGCTGGTGTATTATCAAATCAGAAGTAAAGTTGACCAAGCTACAATTGACTCTAACAGATGAACTGAAAGTACTCTGCATTCTGCCTTTTAAATTTTTTATATCAAACTAGACACATGCAGGGGCTGCCCATTCCGCATGATGACCAAAGAACTCTACTAATATTATTAATAATAATAATGGATTTATGTAGTTGGTTAATTTAAAAGCATATAAATTTACTAAGTAAGCCATCGTATGATGGAATTATTAACGTTGAACAATCTTATTTTAAACATTGCACTTGTAAATTGTAAACAGACAATCAAAAGCACAGAAGTATGGGACAATATATAAGATAGATGCTTTGAATACTGTATGTTATTAGACTCATTAAATATATACATCTGTATACCTATTGTAGTAAGTGTACTAAAGGTTGGTTAATCTATACTTGACAAGTAAAATCGTCTGGCGTTAGACAGAATAAAATGAGTGAAATACAGTTTAATTTAATGGGTGGGTTAGTCAGTTTAACGGGTTAGTCAGGCAAATGAGGGTTAGTCGACGTCAGGTTAAAATGAGGGTAAATGTAGTAAGGTTTGGTTAACCATTAAGCGCCAGCGCTCTCCCCTTGACGAGTAAAATCGTCTGGCGTTAGACAGAGTAAAATACTCTGGCGTTAGACAGAGTAAAATACTAAAGTAGGGTGCATCAGGGTGCAATGCGAATCATTGGGTTAACTAGACACATGGGCAGATAGGCCAGTTAACCCACTAAGTGCCAGCGCTCTCCCCTTGACGAGTAAAATCGTCTGGCGTTAGACAGAGTAAAATACTCTGGCATTAGACAGAGTAAAATACTAAAGTAGGGTGCATCAGGGTGCAATGCGACTCAATGGGTTAATTAACAATACTTACACTCCAAATATAAACATTCTAATTTAAAGTAAAGCTAACATATATTAATCTGGTACTCATAAAAATACAGTTTAATGAATGACTCTTTATACAGTTTATGTATGAATTAACCCCGATTAGATTATTATGAATAAGGATCTTGATCATGAATTCTAGAAAACTGATAACTTCTTTTCCGAAAATTGCTAATTAAACCAGATATCATTATAACCAAAATGAGAGTTGCGACAACTATCGCTACAATGAACAACACATAATTGCTAGGTTTTGACTGACGCATCATTTGCGACACTGCTGCAAAATTACCGTCATTTGGTGCAGGTGTTATGTCCAATATATGACACATTAATGAATAAATATCCACAATGCTAAAAGGTTTTGATTGATAGCCCTGTTTAAAAGCTGGCCCATGAGCAATGAAGAAAGGATGCATTTCTTTGATGGAATTATTATAACCATGATCACCATGTTCAAAGTCTTTATCCTTTATGTTTCTGACAATTCTGTATCCAAAATCGCTCGTCACAAATATTGGCGTGACTCTACGGTTGTTGGCATAATGCCAATACACAGGAATATCTTTCTTGTGAAATACTGTCAAGTGAGGAGCTTGGCTTAAATTCTTGTAGATATTCTCTTCCTCGCCTTGATGTGGGATAATGAATGAATTGACAGCACTGTCCACCAAGGTGTATTTGTCGGACGAGATGTAATCATCTAGGTAGACGAGCCTATTGGAGTCCACTTCAGCCATTCCATGGTCGCTTGTTAATATTATGTTGACCTGAAAAATAAAATATTGAAAAATTAACCAGTAGTATTCAGAGCTCTCACTTTGAAAAGAAGAAAATTGTGATGGACCCATTAATGTGTTGTTAGTATTATACAGTGGCAGAAATTTTGGTGGGATGGGCCCCTCCCCCACCTCCATGGAAAATTGACAATTTTTTGCAAAAACAGCCTTTTTGTATGCAAATTGGGGGGGGGGGGGTTGTTGGAAATTTGGGAGGTTTTGCTCCCCCTCCCCACCAGAAAAAGTGAATTTCCGCCATTGGTATTAAACAAATATATGACATAAAATATTTGACAGATAAAATGATAAAGTAAGACGTATTGGGGTGTGTTGCCCATTAACCATTTAAGTGGCAATGTGCCCTGATGCACCCTACATTATTGTATCGTCTAATGGCAGACAATTTTACTCAAGGGGAGAGAGTGCTACCACTTGTTGCGTTAATCAGACATCTTCTCATGCATTCTGTTAACCCTGTAAGTAACAATGTGCCCTACTTTTGCACACACCCTGTGGAAATCAGCTTCGGTTGACAGGGTTAGCATGGGTAAATAAAGTTTTTCTATCTATCTATCTACTTTATTATTTTAGTATGTCTAACATCACATGATTTTACTCATTGAGGAGAGAGCTGCCACTCAATGGATCAATGGGTGAAATAAAAAGATTAATACTTGTGTTAAAAGTATTTTAATTTAAACACACTGACCTGATCAAATAAGTGTCGTTTCTTCAACTCTTGCACCAAATACCCAGTGATTTGATCAAGATGGAGAATAGCCTCGGCAACCTCTTTGGAATTTGGTCCATACTTATGTCCAGATGCATCGGGCTCGTGAAAGTAGACAGCCACAAAATTAACTGGCGGATCTCTGTCCAACTGTTGCAGCACCATATCGATGCGAGTTTTAAACGAAATACTTTTATTATACGGTGGACTGAAGTCAGCGCTACGACCATGAAACGGTACAGACCCACCTACCCAATTGATCACAGCACTTAATCGCCCACCTCCCTGTTTCTGATTGGTTATCCAGACCGCTTCCGAGGCATTGAACCATTTTGGGTCGACCGTCGAGGGAACAAACGTTTCGTTATATACTGGGTCCCACATTACATTATTGATAATTCCGTGGTTTTCTTCATACCGACCAGTCACAATGCTGTAATGGTTGGGAAATGTCCTTGTCACAAAGTTATTCACAACTGCGGCACTAACACCATGTTTTGCAAGCCAGGCTAGCGTAGTTGTATTCACTTTCTGCAAGTAATCCCAACGAAAGCCATCGAAAGATATTAAAATTAAAGTCGGTTCTCTTTCCTCGTGTCCTATCACGCTCGTCAAGAGGAACAAAACAAAAATATATCCTTTTGAAAGAACCATGGCCCTAGCTTGTATGTGCTTGTATTAAAATTCGACACGTAGTCACGAGTTCGTGTCAGACTTTGTCGCCGGGTGGTGTAAAAAAAAAGCAAATTCGTAGTGTAATTATTACCTTCACGTCTAAGTCAAGATTCGTGGACTAGAAATATTAATAGTTATTCAAATTATTATACTTCGGCTTCTTTTTAAAAAAAAACATCATTTCGAAGTATTTTAAACAAACTTCCGGCATTTGTAAACAAACTCCCGAATAGTTACCGACATTTACCGACATTCTACGGTCGCACACGAGTATAAACACAAAAATATTCCTATTCGAGACAATTTTCCCCCATGTTTTGCACTTACTGTAAGCTTAAACTAAAACACATTCTTCACTTTACCTATATCCTTTCCATGCTAAAGTATCCATATAAAAATTATAATTTTCTACAAACTGTAAAAGAACCCAAAATTTTTCAAAAAGCGGCAATGTCATTTTGACGTATGGTATTTTGTATCCTAGCAACCCGACGAGTTTCCTTGGTAATTGCAACAATATAAAACAATTACAATAATTTCGAACGCAAATTTCATAATTCAGTTCATTTTAAGCTTATTTTAGTTAATTTAGCATTAAAATCTGTGTTAGTTATTAGCCAAGCAAAAATTCTACACAATGAATACTGAATCTTGGTGTACAGTAGAGTCAAGGTCGTCTGAAAATTGGACAAGATCAAATCGAAAACATTTTGGCAAAGCATTTGAAAGCAAAGTATTCAAAGAGGGGCCTGGTGATTCTGAAGGAAGATTGCAGTTTCCAAAGAAGAAAGAAGTACATCGAGAAAGAAGACACTTCCCTGAAAAGTGTAAGTTTGTCAAGCCATATTCTTAAAACTAAAAGTATTTATTCTGAATGGTGCTTTCATTCTTTCTATGAAGTTTCTAAAGCATTCTCGATCTCCAGAGGTCTAGTAAGGACAAACTCTTGTTGGCTCAGTGTTACTACAGGAGGAAACGGGAATAACCTGAGCAAATGTGGTGTTCGGTCGAGTCAAACTGGAAACATTTTTCACATGTGATCGAGGTGAAATTTATATGTTCAGAAAACTGCATATTGGGATATTGCAGGAATCAATTAATGGTGGTCAAAAGGGTGAAAGGCACTGTGCCACAGTACTGTATCAGAATGTTGTATGTTGAAAATTGCAATACCCTTATCTCTGAATTATATCAATATATGAAGAAATCTTAAACCCTTTTTTTTGTAGATATTTGTAATCTGAGGTGACCTGTACAGGAATATTGACCACTATTGGACTACAATCAAATATGAACATTAAAGAATTATTTAAACTATTAGAAACTATTACTTATTTGTATAGAATTACCACTAACCAATGTGTAATTAAAGAAAAAATCAATACAACTATGTGAAGTTGAATTTCTATGCATCTATTTTGTTCGTCAGATGCACAATGTGTAGATTTTACACTAGTCCTGATGCTTTTTCTACCTATTATACAAGTCATCTTAGAGGAGGGGGAGTATATGTGTCCCTCGCCCAGTTTTCAAATGCCATGTTGCTTTTCACAATTCTTCATGTAGTTGTCAAAATTTGGACAAATTTTATGTTGCCTATAACTACTTTACTCTCTTCCTCCCATTAAAAAGTTATGTATTACCTATCAGAATTGCAATACCACTACCAGGGTGTCTACCCTTTGGTGAAGGTAAAATTCAAGGACTTTTCCAGGACTTTCAAAGGCCCTTTTTCAATAAATTCAAGAACTGGGAAAAATGGCACGGATTTGCCGTAAATAATTCACTTTATTCAGTAATTTTAATCAAAATCACTAATGTTGGCACAGCTGGAGGTTACGGAAATTAATTCCAGGACTTTCCAGTCCTGGAATTTTTTTTCAATTCAAGGACTTTCCAGGATTTTCAAGGCCTGTGGACACCCTGTAATACCCTAACATGGCCCAACCACTGAGCCCAACTAGTCCACATGTGAACCACTGTGGAAAGTTTGTATTGCAGGACCAAGATCTTGGGACGTGGTGACCGAGACCTGATGCACACAGTTTCGATGTTTTCTATACGTGTTCCAAACTTTTCAGTCAAGCTTGTGATGGAAAACCTCACTTTGTGAACCTTGCTTTGTCCTTTGTGCCAAAGAATAGTTTAGCAGTTTCTCCATCACAACAAAACCTTGTTGAAATGCTGGTATGCCAGTATTTGAACAAGGTAACTTTTAAATAATAATAATAAGTTCAGTACAGTGCAAATTAATCGCTTTACAAACTTTGGTGAGGAAATCTTTCAGACGTTTTGAATACTCGCCTGTCAAAAACTACATTTATTTTGCACCTGGAATTACTGAAGAAATTATAAAATTTCACTGACCTTACTACATACCATATGCCGTTGCTACATAGGCTTTAAGTTGTAAAATATCTTCTCAAAATTGGCAATTCCTTCAATGCAAAACCACGGACAAAATTTTGGAAGTTTTTCTCATGCTTCGAGCATTGGAGCAAGAAACAGGAGTTTGATTTGATGAGCCCACAGTCTTGATTTTGCAAATATAAATACATAATACATACCATATCAGCGGTTACTCCCATGAGGAGAAAAAAAAATTTAAATGGAAGACAGTGAAATATTTTTTATTGAAAAAACATTTGAATTTCATATGAATTTACACTTTCATTTAAATGAGACGTCATTTAGTATGATTAGCATTTGAATTAAGTCTTCTTGAATTCAAATTTAAGTGAAAAACATAGTGAATAATGGTCATGTTTATACATGGGAGTGATGGGACGTTTGCTTTTCTGACAGATTGCCAATGGCAATGTTCTACTGCCCTGGTTACAGAGGTTTATATTCATAATGATAGTAAACGTCTGGACTCAAATGCAGTTTGAACATGAGCAATGACTCAGCTCATATTTTTATTCTGGTTAATTTGTTTCGTGCCTATTGGTCATGCAAAGAAAAGGACAACATGGGATATCACATGCTTTATCTGAAAAACCAATGGCAAAAACTTTCTTTAAAACATCATCAGGTTTACTTTCATTATGAATATATCAGGCATTCCAACTACTGGAGGTAAAATTTAGGGAGACTGTTCAGTGAATTGAAATCTAGTTCTTCTGGGAAAAACTAATAAAAATTAAGTCTTCTGAAATGGCGTTTCCTGCATTTTGGGAAGATATTGTTATAAGTGATCCTATAAATTGCCATTAAGGAACTTCATAAAAAGGTCAAGACAGACTATTGTGTTGCTAAAAACAGTATGTTTATGATTTTTTTACTATATTTCCTGAATATTCTGAAAAATCTGGAGAATTTTATAAAAATCGGGAGACCAGGAGATTGCGTGAATTTTCGGGAGACTCCCGGTAAAATCTAGGGCCACTAACAACGTCTGCGCAGAAGGCTAGGTAACTGAATCGGGAGAGTTGGAATGTCTGATATATTATAAACTTCTGTAACCAGGGCAGTAGAATATTGCCATTGGTTATTATTGGTCTCTGTCATACAGAAAAGCAAACGTTGTTCCATGTATAAAGGTCTATAAACATGGCCGGTCTTCTTGATCAAACTCACTAAATTTCTGGTATTTTCTTGTGATAGTTAAAATCGGATGTCCCGCGATATAGTTCGTAATGTTTAGGTCCTCTCTCGGTTTCCCAGGTATGCTCAAGCGCTGCTTTATGGGCGTTCGGGTAGTCCCCTATCCTCGTCGTAGATTTAGACCCCCTATCTACAAACTGTTCTTTGGCTTCTGTAGGATAATGAAACAAGTCTACTTTATGAGTGGTGCCTGTTATATCTTTGTAATTTTCTCTATGCTCTTCTTTAGTCTTGACGAATTCTTTCAAATCTCGCTCTCTGTCGGGCAGTCTGTTAAACATTTTATAATCAGGTCTATTCAACAGCTCGTCCCTTGTAGCGCAACGAGCCCCTAAGACCCTGTCGGGTCTATCGCTTAGCCAAGTAGGACGAACCTCCATTCCTACCAAGTTTTCTTTAAGGACTTTTTCAGCTACTTGTGAGCGACGATAGTCGTGAAACCATTTCGTTGTTCCTTCGCCATGTTCGTAAGTTTTGCCAAAATTCTGAGGACGTTCAGGAGTGTAGTATAGATATGCCGGTACGGATTTCGGATGGCGATAAGTTTCTCGACTCGTTGTAGTGTATCTATCGTGTACATGGTTCGCCATTTTGGTGTAGGTTTTTGTTAATGGCAGAAATTTAATGTGAAAATTTGGTTCAGTGACTCTGTTTATAATATTCGCGTCTTGTTAGTTTAGTTGCTAGGAAACACACGAAAGTCTCGTGTTACATATTTAAATAATTCATAAGCAAAGGTTTTGAAATGAAAAATCAAGCATGCACAAAGTGTATTTCTCAGTCCCATTTTGGGACAGTGCAGTGATTTTGAAAGGGAAACCCGAGAATAGGACAAAACGCACATCCCCAGAGAGCACATACAACACCAAAGATCCAATAAAAACAGGCTCCGAGACTTGAAGTTGAAACTGTAAATATTTAATAGCGGTTAAACATTTGCACTGACGCGTCAGGCTTTTTAAATTCTATATGGTTATGTTTTAGTTAAATTAATGTTAGTAACTGTAATAAAACCTAATTACAACTATTTTAGATATTTCCAATTATGCACAATCTTGTACAACTTAACTTGCACTAATGGTGTAATGTACATTAAATGTATATAGCATTACTATGACTGCATAGATGAGAAAAATTACAGTGCAATGTACTGCACAGTACAGTACAGTACAGTACAGTACAGTACAGTACAGTACAGTACAGTACAGTACAGTGCTTTACAATAGAGTACATAACAGTACAATAAAATACAGACACAGCACAGTATATATCGATGCAGTTACAGTCACTAAAATTCTGAAACAAAAGTCTGAATAAAGTTTTATACATTATAATTCTATCTTGAAGCTCCGGTTATACTGTGCCCACTACAATGCAATCTCGTTCCCCGAATTGACTACAATGCAACATTGAATGATCCACTACATGCAGTAAATACATTTCTCTAAATCTAAGTTACATAATGAGGCAACCAGAACCTACCAAGAACCAACAAAAAAAGTAAAATACCACAAGGATAAATCAGCTAACAACAGAAACATCGTTTCTTCTTTAACATGGTTCGTTCTTCGCTGAATTGATGCTTGGCAAAATTGAGGAAAACCTGGGAAAACAAAAGATCGCCATGATTAGGTGGTGAACCAAATTTTGTTATCTTATTGCAATCTCTGGGGTCATAGCTTTGGGGTGTTGATCTTCACTCGTACCTGTTCCAATGTGGTTTGACTCACACTATAGTCAACAATACCCAATCGTTGTTTTGAACTTTCCAAGGCACCAAACACATAGGACCATTGCATGTTCTGACTGGCAATTTGATAAGTAAGCATACCCTAAGAAACAGAGAGAGTTAATAGAAGAAACGACGAAGGGTTCTCTGTCTAGAGTACTAACTTTCTCTATTTTTTCAATCATTCGGTTATTTTCAATGTTTGACATGTTGCATCTATCCAGAGATAACAAATTTTTAAAGATTGAAAATGAATCTTAAAATATTTGAAAATCAATTTCTTCCACAGTGACATTTTGAAATCGTCCTGATTATTATTAGAGATGGATCACTCAACTTAGCATTTACACATCAGTGAAACTTTTTGGATGGTGAAACGACAAAGGCTTATTTATGCACACGAGTATTATATATACTGAAAACCGGTATGACAGATGAAACTACAACACGCTTGTTACTCTCTATTCCTCCCAAATCAAATACGTACATGACCGTGTACATAATTATATATATATATATATATATATATATATATATATATATATATATATATATATATATATATATATATATATATATATATATATATATATATATATATATATATACAATAATAAATCGTTGTCCGTTGTACAAAAAGAGTGCTCAATAACAAATTTAATTGATAGAGCAAAATATACTAATTATAATCTTAAAATTTTATTAATCGCTACACAGTGTTTCACGCTTTCAAAGCGATCTCGAAAGTATCGCCTGAAGATCGCTTTGAAAGCGTGAAACACTGTGTAGCGATTAATAAAATTTTAAGATTATAATTAGTATATATATATATATATATATATATATATATATATATATATATATATATATATATATATATATATATATATATATATATATATATATATATATATATATATATATATATATATATATCGTAATCTGTCAAGACAAGATAGTTGGACAGTGTTATATCGCTACCAATCTCGTTTCCAGGGCACGCCCGTTCGCAGGTTAGGGTTGGGCATAGCTCTGGAGAAATCGAATTGATTCACGTTGCATTTGCGATTTGTCAGTTACGTTGTTGTTGTATAGTTTTTCCAACGTGTGCGGTGAAATTGCATAGCTGAGCTAGCCGCCACTCGAGGCGGTTAGCTCAGCAAGTTTCTCTCGTGTGAGGCAGGCTTAACCTGCGAACGGGCATGCTCTGGGAACGAGATTGTGTCGCTACGAGACGGTGAAAATGCGCTCTAGGCCACCCCTGCGCGCGCTTTCCAATTCGCATGTGCTCACAGAGACGACTGGGGACGAGTCAGGTCTACGTCTATAATCTCATACCTGTCGAGACTCCTCCAGCATGGCTCCCGGGAAGGTCTGTTGTACGAAGACTTTTGCTTGTTCAACATAACCGTCCAGTGAGGTCATATTAGCGCCGTTTTGTATAACAATTGGATTGCCATACGCTGGACATTTGAAGAGAAAAAGATTCATGTAAGTTAATTAGCAAACTATGGCACTAACAACCGGTAAAATGCTTTTTGTAGAAAGGTTTGAATAGATTTCAATTTTATACATTAATTAGAACTATCCAGGAACTTGTTGCGAAAAAGGAAACTATAGGTTCTCTGGCAGGAAATTTCACTCTCGATAGACAACTTGCATGTTAGACTAATTTTTGACTTAGGCAAAAAAAAGTAAATTCCCGTAAAGAACTTATTAAAATCAGTAAAATTGCAAAATTTGGTTATGAAATGTTGTAAAATACAGAAAATATAGCCTTGCGAAGTTTGCATATTTTCAGTATGTTTGTATTACGTGCGGAAATTGTTACC